ACTATCATTTGAAACGAAGATTAATAGAATCACAACTGGAAACAAAGAAAAATGCATACTAACCGGTACACTTAAATTGATGAATTATTATTCCAAGAAAGCTTGGACGAAAACCAATCTTCCCGATGGTTTGGACGAACTTAAGGAACCATAGAGTGGATTTTAGATGCTTAGACGAGTTCAAGATCGGAGGACTAAAGTTTAGCAATGTGATGAACTTCAAAACGCAAACCCGTAACACTAGGAACGTTCAAATGCTACCCGTAAAACTTGATGGGGAGAAACCAAAAAAAAAAAAAAAAGCCGATTAAAACTTCCAACCCGTAGACTAAAGCTAAGTGATTGATGGTAATTAAAATCAAACCCCGGGAAGATCAAACAATAGACCCGAAAATGAAATTGAAACCCCGAAGATGAAGAACATGAAGAACACTCAACCTAGAAAACCTAAAAAAAAAATCGAGTCTTTTTGCTTTCCACTTTCACTCTCTTTTAACCGAATTTCTCGCCCCTTCCTTTTTTTGTTTCTAAAAGCTCGTAAAATCAAACCCATTTTATAGTCAAAAACTTCATAGAATTTCTTTTAGAATCAAATCTCAAATCTCAAATTTTTGCTATCAAAATTTTAAAATCTCAAATTTGAGATTCGATTAGCTAATCAACAAAGAAAGGAATCAATGATTGTTTGATTCTCCGTCAAAATTAATTCAGTAAAAAATCATGATAAATATAGAATCGAAACAAAAAATTAATGGGGGATTTGGGCGATTCTTTAAAAGATTTTCAAAGAGAATCTGCATTGGGGTGGACGATAGGTCATCCTCTCCATCGCAATCCCGTCGTTCACTCTAAATCTTTAGTTTAGTCCTCGTGAACTTCAATTATCAACAATCATGTCCTTCCGTGGTATAATTTCAATCATTATAAAGCACAATCTTATCAATTGGGTCCATGTAGGGTGCAATATAGGTTCGAAGTTTTCAATTGTTTCGATTGTACCCTTAATTACCTCGATTATATCTTCCTTTAAATGCAATCGTGCCATTGAATGAATGTTTTTGAGTTTTTTTCATCCTTTTTTATTTTTTGGTTTTTAAATAATAAAAAAATGTAAAAAAATAAATAAAATAAAATGAGTAATTTTTGGGTTATTATAGTATTATTGTGGTTTATTATTAAAAAAGCTCGTATTTTTTATTCATTAAAACAAATATATTTAATTCAACGAGACCAATGGAATGTTATATAGCAATCATTTTTTTAAAAAAAATTCATTAATGTTTGTTTTGCTCATGCTCGGCTTTCGCCCTACTCGTTATTATGATTATAGTAGCTAGAGCGAGTTTCAATCTTTTAGCGATCTAATGATTTGATTAAAGACCCTTTTAAGCATTATTTCTACTCCTACCCACTCGGATATTATTGTTATTTTTAAACTCGTATGCACTAACATAATAATTCTATGCACTTTATGTATACAATGATATAGAACATCCATTATATTAACCTTTTATCTTTGTAGTGATTAAACAAATCTTCTAAGCAACACCGAAAAACATAACTTATACATAATAAAATTATAAATATAATTTTAAGGTATATCTTAATAAGACTAAAAATAGATATGGTGAGGGATTAAAAAAACTATTAGTGATTATAAAATTTATAAAAAGAAAACAAAGCAAAAGAGATACGTAAAAAGCATACCTCGGGAAATATGAGCTATCTATAAGCATGCCTAACATTGAGAAAATAATAATAATGAGTAGAGAATATATTATATATGCATACATATATCTTCTTTTTTTCCTAGATTTTGATTGGTAGATTCCAACCAGTGTAACTAATTAGTATAATTAATTTGATTACTAGTGTTTGTGTATAATGACAATACTTATATAATTAATTTGATTTTAATCAAATACACATATATTATTGATCTTGTTCTATCAACTAAAAAAAATAAAAGCTCCATGGATCATATGAGACAACACGGTAATTGAGATAAATCTTAAAAGCTCGAAAAAATAAGAAGAAGATAAATACTAAAACTTATTTGAAGAAAAACTTGAGGTTTAGTATTTGTAGATAGATTGATAGTTTTTCAACTTCCTACAACATCTTTTTACCCCACTTGTTGAGTGAAGGTCATGTTTTTTTTTATAAAAAAATACTTAAAATGTAATTAATAATACTTTATTAATTCACTTTAAAGAAAAAAAAATAGGCACAAAAAAGAGATTACATACAAACTCACTAAAATAATAAGAATATTTACTCTTAGGCTCATTTTTTTAATCATCTCTCCATATTTCTCTCTTAACTTTGTGCATATTTATCCCATACGTAATAAGTATTGTCAATTATTTTAAAATAAGATAAAATTTCTCAAAAAAAAGAATCAACTTTCGATCCTTTTCGGTTGGGATTCCTCTCCGTCACCTCACACCTTCGAGTCCACAGACTCATTCCTTGGCAAGTTTATTTATCAAGGCTTTCGTTTAAGTAATGATCCAAAATTATAAAAAATTTCAATTTCTTTCGATCAACAAGAAAACACCGATCACAACCAAGTAAAGGAAAATAAAAACCTCGTTGCAATGATAAAACATCCTAATAAAAAACAAGAACTTTGTACACAAATCGTTATTTTAAAATTTAAATCGATATTGTTAGCACGCTAAAATGAAAAAGAAAGAGAAAGAGACAATCGGGAGGAAAAAGAGAGAGATGTCTAGTTTGGAAAATAAACTTATATTTTTTTTTATATATAATAAAGTGTTAATGAGTGGAAATGAGAATCAATAGCAACATCAATAAATTTACAAAATTTTCTTATAAAAACAAAAAGAAAAAGAATATCCATGATTCGACGAGTTAGATGATACCTTCACCGTTGAATTGAAAAATCAAGTTGTTTCGAATGCAATAATGTTTAATAAGCATGTATATATAAAAAAAATTAAAAATCAATGTAATTGTTATGATAAGTAATAATTTTTTTTGTTTGGTGTTAAAAGTATTTTTGGACTAGTTTTTATGTTAATTAAGAATAAATTTTTTATCGAATCAATTTTTAAAGCGAGACTTCCTATATTAGTCTTGTTCATTCACAAAAATTTAATAAATTTTTTTTAGCGTTAATCTGAAAAATTGAACCTAAAAAGTCAAGGAATGAAGCAATCTTCTTAATCACCAAACTAACCCCCACAAAATTAACTAAATACTCAATTGAAACATTAACTTATTGATCCGATAGAAATTTTTTTACCGAAATACCAACTTTAGTGAAATTTTATCTATCCTTGTTTACTGTACTTATAAAATGACTACTAATGCATTTTTCAGTGCTCGAATTTTGATCATATAAATGCGACATTACCAAGTCTTTGAATTAAGGGTAATCAAACGGTAGCATTCCTCTTAGCCATATAAGTGCGGCATGGGATATGCAAGTTAAGTGCCGAATTAGAGAGGTTGAACGTTAATATCAAGAAAAAACAAACCCTCCTTAAATAGTCAAACTACCACCCGGGCCTTCCACACTCTATGCCACTACCCCATATATCAAATCAACATCAGATAGCAACGATTGGACCCCTCTAATAAACAACTTGACCAGGACTGGGAAAGATTGGGCTTTAAGATAGCGATAGACCAAACCCAACGCTTGTTTAGGCCCTTTCATTTCCTATCATCCATGCCTCCCCTTCTTCCATTTTTTATTTTTCCCTTCCTTCTTGGGTTAAATGCTCGACATGTTTTTACATAACAAAGTATTTTTTCAATATATATTTATATTTTTAATTAAATAAATTTTATTAGTTAACATAACTATATAATAAATTATTTTTTCACGTGATTTTATATAATTATTTTTCATATCCTATTTTTTTATATAGGAGTTTTTAGGTATAACAACACAACATTTGTAAGGAAAAATTCTTTGGGAGCCCAAAAGGATATTTCAAGCGACAAATACAAATTATTCATCGAAAGAAGAGTGCTAGCAAAACACTCTCTCTAACATTCTCTTTTAAACATTTGCTCAATAAAAATATTTAATCAAATCTTTTCATATAATTTTAAAAATAAATAAATAAATAAGTGATATTTCAGTCTTTTAGATGATATAAGATTAGTTATAATTTTAAAACTCACATCCTGAGAATAAAGAGCAATAATTATCTTCTATTTGTTATTATTTGAAGTGAACATTTTTATTGAACAAGTGTTTAAAGAAGAGTGTTAAAGAAAATGTTGCTAGTGCTTCTCTTCATCAAAATTGGCTAATTTTGTAATTTATTTATTATATTATATAAAAAGAAAAAAAATAGAAATGAGATACTCACAGCCGTTCCTAGAAATTTAGCCATCTTGACAACGTTGAAGGGTTCATAGAACAGTCACTTATGTCAATAAAAGCTTTCGAAGGAGACAATAAGAAAGACATATAAAATCCTGCGCTGGTAATCTTAGAGAAGAGCATTGATGCCCAATTGAAAAGGCAGCCCTAAATTGGAGATTTTGAAGCTTTAAAAAAAACAAGAAAAAAAAAAAAACCATCGTGGTCGTTGAAAAGCCATATTCATACACAAACACACACTACACACTACACAAATTGTAATCTTTCATGGTTCACCGATTTAATAACTAGTACTTATAAGTGAGTTATACATAAATGTGAACTAAGATTTCAATTTTTCCTTATGTAAACAACTTAACAAGATTTGGAGAAGATTAATGGCAACTTTTGTAACTTGCAAATATTTTTTTGAAAAAAATCATCATGAATCATAACGTATCAATATAAATAAATAAAGTATTCTAAACTTGAATGGGGCAAAGAAAATTTATTAGAAGTAAAGAAGTCTAAATCAAATTCAAGAAACCAAAGATTTACTACGTAACAGAACAAAGACCAGGAAGGCATCCTATCAAATATGGCCAAACAAATCTAAATGACAAAAACAAAAAAGAAAAAGTCAGCATCTAGCATTCTAAACCCACAGAAAAAGAGAAAAAGTGGAAGCAACAGCGCAGCTAATAAAAACCAAATAGGGAGAAGAAATAGAATTTGCCATCCCCTTTGCTGGTGCTGGTGCTGGAGCTGCTGCTGATCCCCCATTATCACCACTGTTCGATGGCGCTGGAACTGGGGCTGAAGGTTGGTTATTCGTTGGTGGTTCTATAACAGGAGATGGTGGAGATTCTGTTGGTGGAGCTGGGACTGGTGTGGAGGATGGAGGGGTAGCTGCATAAACATGAGCCACCAAAAAATATAAAAATGTTTAAGCTGTCATAAAAATGAACAGAGAAAAGCATTTCCCTTACAACAGAATTGAAATCATTAAATATTATTTGTCGTGACAATACAATCAGGAGCTTGATGATACACTTCACCTTTTCATCACGTCAAATTTATTGTTTATGAAAGGGTTTGTTATCTTATTTGTCAAATAAGGAAACATTAATTAAACCTGAAAAAAGATAAAAAGCCTACATCCAATTCCCAATTCCAGGGTTTTTTAATAGTTTTGGCGACCAATATCTTCAAGTTGACAACATCCAACATTGTCTGCTTGTTCAGATCTTTCAGAATATTATTAACAATTATCAAAACAAAGAAACATAAAAAAAATTTGAGATTGAAATTGCAAAAACATGATCGAAAACGTACCAGGTGCACCGGTAGGAGGCACGGAGACTACATGCAAAACAAACACATCATCAAATTAAAAACTTATTATAAATAAAATCCATCAAATAAAACATGCCAAAAATTTTGTATACAAGTATTAGATTACTCACTTCCACATTTACTGAGAGGAGGACCAGAAACTCCACACAGAGAAGATAAAGCTGCAGCCCTAGTAAGATTCACAGCAACGCCAAAATCTGCACTATGCTTTAACGCAAAACATAGACACTCAGAATCCAGACTAAGCACTGCTTCAAATCCAGCACAGCAAGAATCAGTGGGCTTCGCAACGTTGCTACCATCTGACAAATAGGTTATACAATCCAACATGTCGAATGAAACATCGGTACAATCTACTGAAGGTGCCGGTGCTGGAGAGTTTGGAGGTGATCCATGGTGCTCACTGTTTGCTAGCACAGTGAGTGTGGCCAAAATGCAAGCAATGACGAGACTTCTCTTCATTTTTGCTGTTGTTACCTCTCAAACGGTAGAGAGAGTGACCTAGGGAGGCTGAAATTAAGAAAGGAAACTAAGGAAGAAAGAGTGCAGGCAGCTAGGGTTCGTTGTTTTTTGGTTTATTTTTATCACTTTAAATAAACAACTTAAAGATAAATTATAGTATTTGAAATTCTCCTAGAATCTCTCTACCAGCAGTTTGGATTCCGCTAATATATTGGGATATTAGTTGTACGTACACTGTTTAAGTTTTAACTTCTCATCAGTAGTTAAATAAGCCAGTATTTTGGCTACTCTAGAATTCTTGTATCTTTAATTTTTATAAGTCTGAAATTAATAATAATAATAATAATAATAATGCATCCATATGTTTTACATAAAGGGGATTCAATTCTGAAAAGAAAAAAAATCGGATATTTCTTGGAATTGAACTTTAAAACCACGTGACAGTGGAAATATATTTTCTTAATTAATTATTTCCACAGAAATTAAATGCTGATTTGTGACTCTAGCTAAATATTTATCACAGCTTTTTTAACAGGTCTCTAATATATCAGATGAAATGAATTAAATATCTACTGATTGAGAGGTGGTGTTAGTCTGTGAGTTGATCGCTCCATCTATAGCTTCATGCACAATTCCCACTTACAGACGCCTAATCTATGCATTTGCACCGACTAATTAAATATCCTTTGATTCATGGTTTGGACTCGATTCTCGTGTTTATAATACGGGCTAATATTTGCTAAGTTGAGAAAAGGCTGAGCCGAAATCAGACTTTTTAATGACAAAGAAAAAGGTTTAAAGTCAAAGCCCGACCCACCCACAAGAACCAGTGAAAAGTTCCTTTTTAAGTTTTTCAGCTATTGGGCTTGGTCAAATGGGTTCGGTCCATCCTTCTTCTTTTAATGGCAATTCCAGTTTTGTTTGGTTTCGGTGCAAAATCGAAATCATATTCCAAGACACTGTCTAGCACTAGTTCATGGTACCCATCATTTTTCTATCTTTTTGCACTCCAAATAAAGTAAATTATTTCTTCTTTCTTCGTTGATAAAATTGAATAATTTACTTGTAGGTGATTCTGATGTTAAGAAGAATACGTATTCGGTTTAAGGTTTCAAGTTTGGGTCTTCTTAGTAAATTTTTTTTTAAAAAAAAGATAAATTGAAATCAAATGAGTCTCGTCTATTAAAATATGTTACAATAAGTTCAATGCTAAATATTCCTCCGGACATATGTGAGTATTTAAAGGTATCAATTTGCTACAGGAGCTATTTAAAATTTCTCTCTCGATTTCAGAACTGGATAGCATCTGCATCACATCGAGCGCTACCTCCACATGCACAAGCACAACCCAATCATGGTAGTAAAATATTTTATTTTGGACAAGAGATGGGACCCTTTCTGACCTTTGATATCACTGACAATGAACAGAGTTTCTTGTTTCTAAACAAATTAAATGCTGGTTTTTTTGGTCTGTCCAGTAGTCAGTAGATCACAAGAAACAAAACAAAAAGAAATGAAATTCTGAGGGTAACAGTTGTCAGTGGGACAGAGAAATTTGGAGTGAGCTGTATCTGCCCTACAGAAATGCAGTTAGAGATTCATCCTTCCATGCCAAAAAGAAGCAGGGCGTGGCCCAGCCCAAATAATGCAAGCATTGAACCTTTTTCCAGTACAGGCCAATTCCAGCATTTTAACATTTTATGAGTGGGAAATTGTGATGCCCCCAAACTGCGGACCAGCTTGGTAACCCCTCGTTGCAATTGGACAAGTTTATAGGTCTACTCTAACCAAGATGCGACCCTGATATTTCGTTTCAAGAAATCAATTATTTTTTGCAACCAAAAACTTACTGGTCAATCATTGCACATAATACATTAGTATTAACTAAGTAGCATGTATAATAATTATTCTATGGATATATTTTGAGAAGAGAGATAGATATACAAAAAGAGAAAGAGAAACGAGAAAGAGAAAATAAAAAAATTTGAGCTGGACGTAAAAATTTTTTTAACAATTTTGATGAATATAGATGTAATTTTTATCTTTTTTTATGTATCTATCTCTTTTTTTAATAAATTTAAAAAATAATTACCGTATACGTCACTTGATTATTTTTAATATATTATAAAATTTCTCAAGTTTAAAGCTCTACTCTAACCACGACGCGACCCTGATATTTCGTTTTAAGAAATCAATTATTTTTTGCAACCAAAAACTTACTGGTCAATCATTGCACATACATGACGCACCATACCCAACTCCTAGAAAAATGGTCCACACTTACCCTACTTCCACTCCTCTAAATGATTGGGTCTAAACGGTCCTCGTCGCCGGCTAATTATTGAGGTTTTTTTCTTGGTTGAGTAATTTTGAAACTTTATTGTCACAATAATGAGATAGTTTCAATCTTATTTATTAATACATGATTTTTATATCTCATACAATGTATAATGAATATCAGCTTTTTATTTTCTCCTAAGAAAGCGGTTATACAAAGAGCATGGGTCAGGAATTGAGTTGTGCAGCGAGTTAAGAATATAGGCTCTTCATTTCTATACAATTGGGTGACTTTGATATCGTAAATACTATGTTTGAGAGAGACCCATGTCTCCTTCAGATCACTCAAAAAACCACTGCTACCAGCCACTTGTCTATTCTCCTACCGTGGCAGCTTCTCCTTTACCTTGTTTTTTAACCCTTTATATTCTTTTTTCTTCTACCGTGGCCATTATCTTTAAAGATAAGAGTTAGAGCTGGAAGTGATTATAGATCAATTAAGTTCTCTTATACATTAATAATAACAAGGAAAAGAAAAAGAGAGGCAAACATAACAACTTTTTTGTGAGAAAATAAAAGGCTGACGCATATTAGAGAAAAAAAAAGCTTACATGTAAATCTTATATGACATAAGTATCATATTTTGACAAATAAGATTGAAACTATCTAACTTTGGTAACAAAGTTTCAAAACTGAAAAACTCACTAATTATTGGTGCAAAAGCGACACTGACGTGCCTTTCTTCTGCGCATCACCGTCCCCTTTTAGCAAGTTATAAGTGCATTTGGACATGTCAAAAGTCAATATTGCTGGTCTGCTTTCTGCGAGTCCTCCACTTTCCCTTGTACTAAGCCCTAAGGCCTAGCAATTTCACATAATAATGGAGATAACCAGTAAAGCAATTTCACATCATCCAAAAGGCCTAGCCATTCGTAATTCTCTTGTACTAAGCCGCCCAACGTCGACCCCCCACCCCCACCGCCACACCCACACACCCAACGCGCGCCCCCACCCACCCCAACACCACTCTACACACACACCCCAAAAAAGGAAAAGAAAAAAAAAGTTATGTCGATATATCTTTCATGGATTTTTAAATTGTTATGATGGAGATTTTGTTTTTTTTTTTCGGATGATTTAGTTCATGCTACATTTTTCAATGCATGACATCTATCATACGTTATATTTCAATAGAAATACTTAATTAAAACAATTCAAAAAAAATTATTATAAAAAGTTAAAATTAATATATTAAAAAAAAACTTAACATGCAACTATTAAAACAAAAATATGGTGATATGCAATATCAATCAACTAAAAACTCTTAGTTAGTGGATCTAATCCTCCACGAAAGATAAGAAATTATGAACATTTACCCAATTTAAAGTGAAAAATTGAATTGCTTTATAAAAAACTAGAGATTGCACTGTATTTTTTTTTTTTTTACATAGATAATTACCAACTAGTCAATACTATTGTTGATTTTATTTTAATTTTGATGAATATATTTGTATTTTGTTTTTTAATTGCATGTTCTATTTGTTTTGTATGTAATTATTACAAGAATCTTTTAAAAAATAATCTTCACAATTTTATTGTGATAAAATCTTACATATGACACATTTCATGACATTCAAGATTAGAGATAGCAATGTACCAAGTATAATATGGATATCTATTTTATCTGATCTAATAAATACTCATTAAAAATGTTCAATAGGTCATGAAGTGGGAAAGAGTAGAAAAAAACATGCTCACTAATATGATTTTAAGGTACGAGTACTCACTCTTCATCGTATTAATACTTACTAATTTTTTTATTTTTATTTTTTACTATACAAGGATGTAATTTTAAAATTAAGGGCCATTTTTTCCCAAAAACTTTGATCACAAAAAAACTTATAAATAAATGACCAAAATAAAAAAATAAATTTTAAAGACAAAAAAACTTTTTTTGAAAATTATAAGGATTAAAATGAATATTTTTTATAAATTAAATTTTACGGGTATTAAATGGATATTAAATGATCTCGTAAAGTAATATTGATCGGGTATAGGTTGATGATTTCATAATAGGTGATTGATATAATATTTGTTTTATTGATAAAATAAAAAATTAAATCAATGAATCAGGTAGTTGGTAGTCATCTATTGCCATCCATGTTCAAGATGAAGTTTTAAAAAAACAATAACATAAAAATTAAAATAATAATAATTTAATTTTTATATTTTTTTAATTGTTTTGATTTAATTTTCAATTAAACTCTCATGTTTGACCCGTGTCATGTATTTAGGATTGTAATGTACCACATCATTTTATAAACTAATGGATAGGAGATTTAATCAATATGAAAAAATATATATATATATATAGTTTCAATTAAAATAATTTAAAGAATTATAACACCATATAATAGACAAAATTCTATAAAAATTGGAAAAGGTTGAGGAGGATTTGTATAGAGATGCGCTCAATGCCTCCACTGTCATGTTAGTATGAAATATTGTATAATAGCGTTATTAAAAATATATATATATATATACAATTCATCTACCTTTCTTTATATTTCGAAAGTGTTCTCTCGTGAGTCTTTTTTTAAAAATGTCATTTTCATACGTCTTTATATGTTTATATCTCTTTTTCTCTCTCTATATATCCTTCTATTTTTGGATGAAAAATGCCCCTACAACCATCAAAAGAAAATTTAGTTTTTCAAAAATCTAAAAAAATGATAAAAAGTTAATAGTCAAAATATTGAAAAAGCTTAAAAAAAAAAACACATATCAAATACGTCCATAAAACCTCGTAGATAGAAATATGCCAGTGGCAACAAAATAATTTTTTCAAGAAAAGAGTTTTCATTACTTTCCAATGTTTATTATACTTAAATAAGTTATTTTTTATTTTTTTAGTTGTTCCAAAAATTTACCGTATCAATAGAATTTTTTTTCCTCTAAATGTTCTTCAAAGCATATCTTTATATCAACTTAGCACTGTTAAGTGAATAAATATTTTAAAATGCTGACTTTGAAATTTAAAAAAGAAAAAAAGAAAAAAAAAGCTTGCTGGCCACATGCCATCTTGTATATTAATTGTAAAAGCAAGTTATCACTTACTATAACTTTCGCTTATTATAAATGCAACGTCGTGACTTCGACCTACCATTCATTAAAATCATCATGGCGGTAGATAAAATTTGGAGGGTACTTGTGAAGCGGGGACTGGAAGAAAGAGCTTCTGAAATCTGCAAAGGGCACCAAACATTGCTATCCCTAAGATGGAACAAATTAAGCCGATATGAAAATAACATTTGCAACAACATAGAATATAGGGACCCCACGAGACCCTAACCTCGCTTGTGTATTTACCGTTGTTTGGCATTTTGTAAAAAGTAACAAAATAAAGTTATTTTTTGGGTAGGGAAATTATTTCATTACTATATTTATTCTTATCTTTTTTTTTTTTTTTTGGATAAATAACTTAATTTATCTTGATATTAAACCTAAGTTTTCAATACGTTTTTAATTATATTTATTATATCAAATTTCTTTCATTTTTTTATCTATTAAAACTTTAGGGACATAACATGCATGTTCTATTTTTAAGCCTTCAAATTTTATTTTATCTTATTTTATTTTTTTGCATTTCAAATAGAGTATTTCAGTCAATTTTTATTCTCATGGTAAAAAAAAAAATTTAATCAAAATGACAAATTAAATATTCAAATATTATTCAAGAAAATAATAGTTGTAATTAAAATTATAGAGACAAACAGATTAAAAACTTAAGTTATTATATAATAACAGATTCAATAATTTATTTTAAATTTTTTTGAAGGCTTGTACAAAAGCTATGTGAACACGAATCGTTAGTGCACTCTCAATTGCGTTTTATAATAACACCGAGCAGGACCTGCGATCTGACTAATTGGAAGTGTGGTCACTGGCTAGTTGGTTTGGACTCATAGCGTATATAGTGGAGCCGGACCTTGGTGGCTGGTCGCCTAGACAACCCTGTGGCAGAGAGGGGAAACATGGGCTGGTGTGCACCTTGATCCGCAACAATTAGGAAGAACGTTAACGTTAATTTGCATCCTGTCTCAGAGTTAATTTGGCGAACTTAATGGATGAAGAGACTAGCAAGCTAGCTAGGGGAGTGCTAATTTGCTTCTGGTGTTTTCTTTTTCATCTTCAAATTAGAGATTCATTGGTGGCAAATGCCCAAAATTTCAAATGATTTTGTATCATCCTTTATCTGCATAAAAACGAAATCAAATGTTTCAATAAATTACAGAATGAGAAGTTACGATGACATTAAATATTGAACGAGATCACCAAGTGAAAAACATGCATGTAGATAAGAACATTTTTTTAGCCTAATCTAATGTTTAGTGAAGTTTTGGAAAAAGATAATTGACATCTAAAATGAATAAAATGTTGTTGATGAATTTGATCCTGCAAATATATAAGCAATAAACAATTTGGCTGTTAAGTAAAGAATGAATCAATCACGAGACTGTGGTTCAAAAAAAATTACACACGAGCGTTATACACATCAACGATTATCGCCATAATTCGATGTACTGAATCTGTTAAATTTTGCATTGATCTTATTCTGAAAGCTTACACAGAATTCCCTAATTATGAATTTTGGGTCGTTCGAATAATTATAGGGAATAAAATAATGTCCTTAATTATTGACGTACTTCTTTTGATACAGAAAATAAAAGCTAGATATGCTAATTTAAACTTCGGATGGAATGTTCTAAACATGTTGGCAGGCCAGGAGCATTGATATTCAAAAATCTTCAATTCTTATTGTTGATTAGCTATAACAATATCAAAATTCCAGCCTGGGGACAAACCAGTAGCGATGACCTTCCTTTAAAGCAGTTTGGCGTCTTATCATTAACATTTAATTTAGCAGTCAAAACAACACAAGATTTCTTTGTCGATGAAATCATGTCAAGCATCTGTCGTGCTAGAACATCGATACAAAAGAGGATGATTAATTACAGATTTCATACCTTGATATACATATATATAAAATAAAATAGAGGTAGTATAAGTTAAAATTTATAAAGCAAAAATTAAAGAATATAACTTTTGATTTAAATAAAAAATTTGACGTAATTTTACAATAAATTTTTTATTTGAGTCAAAAATTACTTTTAACTCAACATATCGATGACTTTTCTTTGAATCAATAGCTATAAATGACTTGAATCGAAATCTAAAAATCATATCAAACATAAATCAAGTCTATTCATTGGGTTCAACTAAAAAATAAGCTATCTACATCAAGATTAAAGAATTCACAACATTTTTAATAACCATGACATGATTTTGGTCGATAAAGATAAAGCACATCTCTTTAAAGATATGTCTTGAAAATTTATGATATGTGAACGAATAAGAGTGATCATCCAATCCCTACTCGCAAACTAGCTCTAGATAAAAATACGTGTGGTTTTTTACATCATAGCGAGTAATGACTAGCACATGGGTTAGAGTTAACGACACCAGCAAATGGGTTTACATGGGAGATTAGGGTGAGAAATAAAGGTCGTGGATTGGTTGGCACTGACCCCATGTAACTTATTATTGGAATCAGTCGAGTCAGCGACACGGTAAGCCAGATATTTTTTAAGAAAATGGAAAGCTACGATTGATGAAACAAACACAGTAATTAAGTGCATTGATGCTAGTTAATTAGAGGCTTGATGCAGACAAATGCCCACTTGCTCAAGTGGAGACTTTTGGGGTACTGCTAGACGTAATAAATTGAGAACCAAGGGTAACTTTGCCTGGAAGTTTTAAAAGAAAGTTTTGTTGTTTGCTTTAGATCTATCTTGCTGATTCTTGTGCCAACTGTTTCCCGATCCTCGGCAAAATAGATGGTGCCATTTTGCTAGCACCGGAAAACTCTACAATCACGAATTGAAAGCAATGTAAATAATTAAACGGAATTTAAAAAAAAAAAAAAAAAAAAAGAACAATGCAAACTGACACATCATTAAAAAGAAAAGAAAGAAAAGGTAAATATACCCTAATGAAATGTCGCTCTAATAGTAAAGGATTTAAGTTCAAAATGTCGGATTAGAAATTGGAGTATCCAAAATTCGAATTGATCAAATCCAACTACTTTAAACTTGAAAGAAAACGAAGTAATGTACACATCATTCAGCAAGGGTCCGGTTCCCTTCCAGTTCAAATATTCTCGATTTCCCTTAATTATTTATCTAGATGATTGAAACATCATTAAAAAAAATGCAATGGTTAATATGTTGCCATCTCATTTCATCATCATTTCCTTATACTAAAGGTTTTGCTTTCCCCTACAAATTAGAGGTGATTATTTAGTTTTTGTTTAACCGACCTAAAAAAAATCGAATCCAAACTAAATCTTTATTGGATTTTTTCAGTTTTTTAACTAAAGTTTTGATTTTTTATGAAAACTAATTTTTTTTTATTTTAATAACAATGTAAATGGGTCAAAAAAAATATGTTATGAACTATGGAGTCTTTTTTTATATATATAGTTCAAATGGTCTAAATTAATTTAAATAAAATATAATAAATATTTATCTAAGACTAAAATACAAGACCGTACCACATAATAAAATATCAAAATCTAAATACAAATCTACTAATTCTTATTTAAAATATACAATAAAAATATTAATTTTCTAAACATATTGTAAATCAAACTATTAAAATTTAAAATGTAAAAAAAAAAAATTGTCTTCGTTGAAAATTGAACTCAAAATTTAAAAAAAACCAAAATAAAAAATCATAATTATTTTGGTTCTTTTTTTTATATAAAATTTTGAATTAAAAACCGAAATAAAAATTGATATTTTGATTTTTTGTTTTTCGATAAAAACCGAACACTGCTCACTACAAACATCACTTTGCATGTTCAATGATGATTTTAATCCATCCATAAACATTACTGCATGCGAATTAACTTCTCTTTCCAACACTTACAAAACGGAGAAATTACATAAAAATACATAGAAGTGCAATAAACATGAAGAGTTTCTTACGATTCTTTTATGGTATAATAAATCTAAATTCAACCCATAGCAACCAACAACTTCAGCTGCCTTGCCTGGAATCATTGTTCAATAACTTGTTTTTTTTTTTTTTTTTTAAAAAAAGAAGGATTTTGGATTCATGTTGTAGAGCTCTGTCACCTGCCGGCCACGCATATGACAGTCATGGTCGAAATCTCCTTGAACTCATCCTTATTCATGTATATTTATTTTGCTCAACTTCCTCGTTCGTATTGTTTTCATCACATTTAATGAAAAGTAGTCGACTAGATATTGGTTGGTTTATCAGATCTACTGAAGACCAGGTTGATAAGAGAAGGATTAATAATGGTCGAAGGTTACAACTGGATGGATTTAACAGAATCGAGAAGAATATAACGGTCTCTGTGTGTGTGTGTATTTCAAAGTGTTTTCACCATCTGATTTTTTTTAATGACACGTAGCATATCTAAACGATGATCAGGAAAATTAAGGATAATTGAACTTGGAAAAAAAAAAAAAACCCTATATACTCATTCAACAATATTGTAAAATTATTTTTAAATCAATTTGTACGAAATTAAATTTTAATAATTTTAAAAACACTCATTCCATGTTAACATTATACATTGAAAAAAAATAATAAAAATTTAAATTTGAAGACTCCAATCTGAAAAAAAAAAAAAAGAATAAAAAAAGGCAAAAGCCAACCCTTTAAAATCAAAAGTATGTTACATGGAAAGAAGAAAGAACCAAAAGAAAGCAGCAGAAAAGCGTATGCTTATGAGTCATATGGACAGTACAAGGAAAGAAAGAACAAATAAAGATTCTACAAAAAGCATCCATGGGTGATTATTCGATACTCTTAATCCTGTCCTACAACTGGGCAAATTGAATGCCGTGGACCCTTCGGAAGAAATTCACCATTATATCATTATATTCCTTGCCATGTTGTAGATTCCACAACATTTTAATATAAGAGCTGTTAGCCAAACGGTACACTTGCAGAGAATCTGTGAGCATCCCTATGTATTAATATTTTATGGTGCAATTAATTTTAAAATCATCACTATTTCTCGATTCTTTTGCAACATTTATTGTCTCCGTATGATGTCAAAATAACGAAGACTTGTTAAAACCTCAACTGATTTAATTACCGATATTTCACAACAATTAATGGTGGCATGATTTACTTTATATGAATAACTGTTGAATTAAATTTGTATATAATGGGATACTATTTCAATTATGCGTGTGCGCTTACATGCATAATTTAAAATAGAATATGAAATGTAGATAGTTTTCGGTTTTTTTAAAAAATAATTTTCTCTGAATATTATGTGAATTACAAAAAAGGAACTAACCACGATAAAATTACAACATTGTTAAAAAAAAATCATTCTCAATTAAACATAAATGTCAGCGGTTATAAAATGATGTTCTTCAAATCTACGTACCAAACACGAACAGGGTTTAAACGAACTAGGAAAGGTTTTGGCCAACAGGTTGGATTTTGGAGCGTGGAAATCAGAATCATGTGGGAGCTAATTGGTGGACCCAATTAACAGAAAAGTGTGGGGACATTGATATTCATTTTTGTTGGTCCTATCTCAGCACCCACCTGAATCAGCAAAATGACTCCTCTCTAAATGAATCTCTTTCCATTATTTTCTATTCTGTTCATTTTTTATCGTTTTCGTGAGAATCGAGACCCACTGCACACAAAGCTGACCTGACCAGGCCACAGATTACATTCCCCCATCAGCTTGCACAAAAACTACTAATCCTCTAGACTCGTAACCAACAAAAAAAAATACCGTGGAGTCATTCGATCCATACTTGACAGAATCTTCTAAAATACCACCTATTTCCCCACTCTCCTACTTAAATATGTATAATATATAAATCAATAACAGTCCTGACAATTTCATCAAAAATGCCACTCAGCTTACAGGTTTTCTTCAAGAACAGCTCCGGGGGCTGCCCATTTGTGTGGCAAAGGTAACGAGGGAAAATTCTTGCCCATGAAATTGGATTCGATCTCCCCTTGTTGCTTTTGAAGTGTATTTTCGCTCATATACAGGAAATGGTTAGTTTGGCACTCATTTGGTCTGCTTTTTGAAAGAACAAAAAGCAACCTCTCATTTTCTGAAGCTACCTTCTATCACAAATTCGTAATATAATCCTCGTACGAAGGCAGAGGTTGTAATGATATATAATACCCGTATCTTTCAAAGATCTTCTCCAGTGGACTTCACATAATAACAATAAAAAAAGTAATTATTTAAGGTTTATGTTGATTATATACTGGCTAAAAAAGTTTAACCACTGCTAAATTTTATGTCATTTAAAATTCAATTTTCGAATTTTTTTTTGGTTTTAGTGATTTTTGAATTTTTAATTTTTTAAAATTTAGTTAATCCAATAATTTTTTATTATTATCTTTCTCTTAAAAAAAAATAAAATCAATTCTTAGTATTTTGAGTTGAAATTTTATACACAAGTTGAAAAAAAAATTTCAAAATTTTTCAAAATCAAGAACTATATATATATTTGAACATTAAAAATATAAAATATTGAAAAAATAAAAAATAACTTCAAAATGATTTCAAGTTTTTTTAACAATGCAACATAAATCTCACCAAATGATTTTTATTATAAAACTATTTATGTAATTGCTATTTTTTTTAGACAAATGATAAAAAATTAAAAATTCAAGAACTTAATTTAAAATGACTTAGAATTAAGAGATATGATTATACCTTTTTAGCTTTACATATTTCAATGAAAGTTAGTACCTTATTTTCTAGTGAGGGAAAACACATTACTGCAATAGATTAATTATCTCTCTTCAAAAGTTTATGAAAAAAAAAAGATCTTCACATAAACAACATTTTCTAGTTTTTTTTCATGTATTTACATATAATAAAATATTTTTGAATAAGTTTTTACATCAATCAAGATTAAATCTATTATTTTTTAAACTAATATCACAACACACTTAGCTTTTTAAAACACTATCAATACTTTATTCAATTCAAACTTTTTTGCATTTTATTTAAGAATTTACCATCCAAATTAATTCCAAACTCCAAATCATTGTGATAGAACAATAATTAAAAGGGGTTCAATGCATCAATTTGTAATCCAGAGACTAGTAACAATTATTGTTTATATATGCAAATTTCTCTAATTAGGCAACTCATGCATCACAACAAGGTGAAGGTGGAACCAGTGTGAAAATGATGGATTAATACCATCACACTCGATGTTCAATCTCAAACCCATCAATTTTAAATCATCTTGTTAAAAAATATAAAAACTTAGAAAATATCACCAACCATAAGTAGTATTTTAAATAAAATATAATTTTAATTATTTAATTCTATTTTTATTGTTACCACCATTCATATACGCAAATAAATATACATATAATAATGCTATATATGATAATGACAATAATAATAACTGAGAAGAAGGAATTTTGTGAATCTGCAATTTTCTTCCATTACTACCAAAAAAAAGAAAAAAAAACGAGAGGTGATAGAAAAAGCCAAAAGAAAAAAAAAAAAAAAAAAACAAGAGGTGATAGAAGAAGTACAGACGCATTAATTCTAGCTAGCTGGCTTAATAGCGTGCGCGGTGGATCCACGTAAATTGGCAGATTCAAAACTTGGCCATCTGCATACAAAAGATATATATGCCTGCATCAAAACCCAAATTAATATGCTTCCAGACTTGGATTATATTTTTATATAGGCGAGCATTTTTTTTTCAAGGACTGCAGGTAAATTAACTCTACAAGGCGGCAACCGTCTCGCCTTTAGCGGAGACTTCTGTTGCGGTGGTGGAGGATACGGATCCTTTCTTGGATGCTAATGAGCACTTCTCTTTCCTTTCATCTAAGCTTATCTGTTGTTGCCTGCATTCTAGACTGCAAAAAGCACTATCACCCCTGCAAGAAGCCAAATTAATTCCGTTAAAAACAAAGTTGATGCTATATGACTATTATCAAGGTGGATTCATAGAAATTAATTAAAGAATAAATAGTGTAAGGAAGACTAATAGTTTTTTTTCCTCTGACCAGACAGATGTTAAAATCAAATAAAGTTCTTGGATAAAAAAGAAAAAAAAATCGGATGCATCAAGAGAAATTATTTCTGGGGGCCGTGTTGGATTTGAGGTGTTATTTCTTGTAAAACTACTAAAACATGACTGGGAATCGAATTTTCACATAAATAAAGTAAGCTTTTCACCACGTATAAGTTAACGAAATAACGTTAAATATTCTGTAATCTTTTTTCTTGTGTACTATACCGGAGAATCCCAAGAAACCAGCAAAAAAACACGTAAATAAGTACTTTCGTTGTTGGTATAAGATTGTCAGAAGTAAATAAGTAGCAGTATAATTAATACAGCCTAATAGGTGAAAAAAATACTTGTACATATAGATGTCACGGCCAGGAATCAACCGGCGCTTGCAAAGAGAGCAAGCCCTCGAGAAGTTAGCAGTCTCCAAGAAATCACCAGAAGCCCTTCTATGGGTGGTTCTTGTTGATCCTGTGGCAGCCAACGACCGTTGATCCATCAGCCCACCACATCCCATCTGTTTTTTAGGATGATCAGCCGGTGGGGCTGCTTCACTACCAGCAGTGTTTAGATCAAAGGTGATCTCTGACAAGCTTGTTGTTCTCTTCATTGGATTACGTGGTCTCTTGCCCAACAACATCTTTGTTATGCTTTTAGCACTTTCTTAACAACTACAAGCTATTATGTTTTGGGGTTTTCTTTCACTGAGGAAAATAGACAGGGAGAAGGAGAGAGTTTGAGAGAGCGAGGGAGAGAGAAGAGAGAAGGGAAGTGAAGAAGGAGTGGAGATTGGGAAGATAAAAGAAGAGCCAGAAACAGAGGAGTGAATCTGGACCGTTCAATTAATTTGCTGTTTTGTTATGATGGCAAATCCACGTCATTGACCCCTTCGTTTATGATGATTCTTTCTTCGATTTGGTAACTTGGGATACTCTTTTGTTCTCTAACTACAGCAGAGGGTCGACTCAAATGCTACCACGTAATAGAACCCCACATCCCCCTTGCGTCTGCTAAAAATCACTGGAAGTCCCTCTGCTATAATGATGAGGTTAATTAATCTCTATACAATAAATTTTGTTAAACAAATCCTCGTACTTATATCTTTTGACAATTAAAAATTCCCTCCGTCAATTTCCTCTGTTAAATTGACCAAAATACGTTGGTCGATCAATTTCACACTTCCTAATCGTGACATGTATCACTTATCACATTAAACATGAATAAGCAAAATGAAAAAAATAAAATTTAAAAAGCGTGATGTTAAAAAAAATAAAAATAAAAAATGACACAATTTTAATATGTAAATCCACTTCTATGGCACAATTAGTAAGTGATTTCAATGCTAAAACACACCACATCAATCCTACATACTATCATTTACAGATCACTCACCATAACAGATGTGCCACTTCTATCTCTAAGAACCATTGTTGTCTTCCCTTTAGAAATCTTATTCCCTCAAATTTTTTTCAATACCATTTTCATCTAATATATATATATATATATATATATATCCTACATTCACAGAACTATGGTTTTTGCTTTCTTCAATAACCATGTTTTCTAACTCCTAAAAACACAAAAAAACACAAATATGTAAACATGATTTTGAGGAGATCCTATCTTAGTGCTTGATGAATCAACAGAGGTAATAAATAAATTGAAACTAAAAGTTAAGGATTTCGAATTGATTTAAAAATCACTCTTTTTTGCCGTATAAATGTAATTGCTTTTTTCTTTTCTTTTCAAATCATTGAAAGAATTTTCTTTTGTTCTTTCCCTTTTATTTTAAATCATACACATGATCATGGGAATTGTCAATATCATTTTTATGGTTGAAATAATTGTGATTTATGTTTTTTATTTTGTTATTCATGTTTTGTTATGCATATTTTTTATTTTTTCAATCTCTTTCTCTTAATTTTTTCTTCTCATTATTTATTAAATGCATTTTTCATTTATATTCAATTTAATAAGTGACACAAATTAATTGCATGTGATCAGGAATATCAAATCAGTCGAACTTATGGATGGATGGATTTACGTGGCCCAAGATCAAAAGTACGAGGGTTTATGCAACCAAATTTAATGTACAGAAGTTCATTTGACCAAATTCAAGTGACTTTAGGTGATTTTTACCCTTATTGTGTTTGGTAAATTATTTCCTTTATTTCTTTCAGGTAGTGTAATTTACCATTTTTCTATCACCCAAACACGATTGATCTCCTTTTCGTGACCATGCAGAGTTAGTCCTTGTGTTAATTTTATTCGTTTTCTGTCATGCTTATGCTGACCCATTTGATATGGATAGGAAGAGTTATACATATATATAGTTTCTCACTTGAAACTACACTACTGAGATATTAATTAAGCAAACGTCAATTACAGTAATCAATACAATCATTGATTCATTGTACTCCCCTGACGTCCCAAAATACCCACAATTAATTCTATACTTTAGACAGGAAAGGTTAGGGGAGAAATACAATTAATCATTCAAATCTCCCATCGTTGAAGGAAAAAAATCATGTAGGTGAGATTTATTTATTGATTTTGAAGAAATAATCGGTTTGAACGTAATTTTTTTTTTCTAATGTTAAAAGAACAAAAAACAAATACTACCTTTTCCCCGATCATCAATAAAAAAAACTTTTTTAAAGAATATCATCAATATTCAACCATAGTTGATCCAATCTCCAAGAAAAAAGCCTAGCAGTTAAAAAAAAAAAAAAAAAAAAAACTATCATGATCCAATCCGTTTCCTCTATATATACATATATGGTGCGCGGTATTTGATTTTTTATCACACGCATAGCATTTGATATGAAGTCAAGTGAAGTAACTTTTACGTTACCACGTAAAGCAATTGTTGATCTGATACACCCATTTGTTAAGGCAAGGGAAAAAAAAAATAGTTACCATAATGAATGGGGGTGGCTACATCTATGAGTGACGGCAAAAGAAAATATTCTGAGTTATGGATGTTTTTTGTTTTACTTATCACACGCATAGTATTTGATATGAAGTCAAGTGAAATAACTTTTACGTCACCATGTAAAGCAATTGTTGATCTGATACACCCATTTGTTATGGCCGGAGGAAAAAAAAAAGAGTTACTATAATGAATGGGTGTGGTTACGTCTCTGAGTGACAGCAAAAAGAAAATATTCTGAGTTATGGACTTTTTTTTTTTTTTTTTTTACTTATTGTTTAACAGTCATAGGGAAAAAAAAACTGATCGACGGCCAAAAGGTAATGGAGTTACAGCTTTTCGGTTAAACTCAAATCACCACATAATTCAGCTCCAAATATCAACTCTGCCAATTTATTTATAGGTGTGGTCCCGCCCAATCAAACTCTGCCAGGGGCGGACCCACGTACATTGCTAGAAGGGCCCTGGCCCCCTCCCCTCCATTTTTTTCCCCATGTAACACTCCATGCCATATCTTTTATCATCTTTTTTTATTTTATCACAATTTTACTTTCAATATTACATCATCCTAATTCATGTTTTAATTGGTATTTATTTTTTTGAAAAATGATTCAATCGAAATTTTAATTAACCTATAGATAAATGAGTATATTTTTACACAAAATAATTAATTTCAAGGTTTAAATAAGTGTAAAAATACACTTATTTCTACAAAAAATATTCTCTATGCACGAAAAAATTCACCTAAGTTCATAGAATATTTCTACACCTCCTACATGATTTTTCTATGCCCATTGGATAATTTTCAAACATATTTAAAATATTCAAAATAATTAATTTGTACGAAAAAACATTATTCATTCATTGAATATCGGAAAATTCATCAAATGGCATAGAATAATCTAGTACCCCTCTAGCTAATATTCTATGCAAATAAAACATTTTTCATGAACATTTAAAATACTCAAAACATTTATTTTGCATAAAAAATTACTATTCATGCATCAAAAAACGAGATAAAATATTCACTCGGTACAAAAAAATTATCCTAAGCGTATTGAATATTCCAAGCATCCTTGTGGAAACTATCTTATGCCCACATAATAGTTTTCATACATCCTTAATATATTTGTAATTCATTTAATAACGGGTTTGAGATATTTTTAATCCTTAATAACGGGACACTCGTTGGAGTTCCCATCTAAAATCTGTTTCGGCTTGATGAATATGTTTAGTGCAATTATAGTTGAGCATCATTACAAAATTGACATATTCTATGCTGTGATAGGTTCTCAATTGAAAGAATGAAATAATAAATTCAATAATCACACGATAAAGCTATTCATTTTTAGTTTGGCTTTAAATCCTAGAGATGCACATATCATTTAGGATTGATGACATTTGTAAGTTGGTATATTATTTTGAGTGATTGTATTTTGAGATTATTTTAAAAAAATATATATTCATATATTACTTTTAATATATATATAAATTTGTGTAAATTTTAACAAATTTATAAATATTTATTTTAGCCTTTGTGGACATTTGATCCCGTATCCGCCACTCTACCCAAATAGAATAAAACTAGGATACTCATGCTATGATGTGAATAGACAATCGTTACATGTGTAGAATTAACAATTCATATGATATAATGTGAATAAAAAGTTTTATTTTTGATAAATAACGTAAATCGAATCTATATAGAGTTAATTTCTAACGATATATATATATATATATATCATACTTAACATTTTTAGAGTATATAGAATAAATAGAAAAATATACAAAAAAAAAACTCACCTAAATTGTATGAAATATATTGAAGTCAATAGATTAAAATAAAAACTACAATAAAATTGATTCGATAAATTCTAAATAAATATATATAAAAAAGCAAATAAAACTTGTCAAAATTTTTTAACTCATTATTATTTAAACAAAAAATGGAGTCAAATTATCTAAAACATACTTTTAGTCGTGCGTGTGTGTGCATTAAAAAATAAAAAACTCATTCAAAATATATAAAAATAATTTATTATATAAATTATAATAATTTATTTTAAAAAAATAAAACATCGCCGTTCTAAAATTTTATTCCAAAATTCATATATTAAAAAACCTAATTTATTAACAAATAAAATTATATAAAAAAATTAAAAAATTAATTTAATGAGAATTTTAATAAGAAATAAATAATTAAAGAAATAAATTTTAAACAATAAGAATAAAATAATCATATATGTATGTTAGCATCAATGTCGATGATATAATTAATATTAGTCCAAGGATATTGAAGGAGCCAATAATATATATGTTTTCTTTCCTAGTGAAGAGACAAATTATATATGACTTCTTAACTTGTACATCACTTGTTGATTATGCTATGACAATATGTGTATTCTTTTAAGTGTTTCATTTTGTCTCTTGGTGATGCAATCCTAAAACACATCAAGATTTAAAATAATTAGTAAACTTTTTTTTTGTTCTATCATGAGATTAGTGGCCGGACTTTTAAAAATATAAAATAAATTAGAGGAAGAAAAAAAAGGGCGAGGCTCACGATTGGTTGGCCTTTGCGGCCGGGAGAGGCCGGCGTGCTTGGGCCTTCGAGTGCAGGCCGGTGAGCCAAGGCGAGCCTACTTAGGCCTAAGCCCAGGCCACTTGGGCTTGCTTCTCCAACCCTCGGCTATTGTTCAACTAAAAAA